GCTTGTTAAAATTTTCTTCAAAGGCGAAATAAAATTTTTAATGAAAAATAATGGGTATTGGTATCTTTTTAAAGAAGAGAAATAAGTGATTGGTAGTATATTAAAGAAAAGTGCGGTAAATATTTTTCATGCCCATCGTCTTTATTATGTAATCAAGATTAAAAGGTTAAAGTGGCTATATAACAAAGGGCTCAAAGGAGTTTTTGTCTCTTCATGGCTCGCCATTATTGTCTCTTAGATGCATTCACCCTTAATGTTCCATGCCCTTTTATTCATTATGATTTTCATACAAATAAAAATCGATACGAGATAACGTTATTTCGTTGTAATTTAATTAGTAGCAACTTTTTTGTTACAAAACAAACATCTCGTTACAAAGCTCTTCTGCAAAGCAACTTCACAAGTTGCAAGAATATTTCAAGAATCGCATTTAATTAAGCTAGTGTTCAATGTGCAACAACGTAGCAGTAGAAACAGTGTTTGCTTTTAACTCCGCGCATAAAGGAGAACTTCTCGCAAAGGAGAAACTTCCAAAAAGTCGAAATTCTATTTATATCCCTTAATTTAATAAATTAATACAAGAAACGAAAAAGTGAAAGAAATCAAACATCATCGTATTTCTTCAAATTGTTTGTTTTTCATTAATTATGTTAATCTTAAAATGATTATACTTTTAATCAAGATTTTTTTCTTAATTTAATAATAATTAAAACATAATTTAATAAAATTAAGTTTTAACCACGTTTCATTATTCTACCAATGACATTAATAAACGGATTAAAGAGTAAAATTGACTACATTATTGATCAAGACAAATATTTTTTTTCTTACATATTTCTTAATTTCCTTAATTAATATTTCTTTAATTCAATAAATTGCATTAATTATATTAAATTAACATAAGAAACAAAAAGTGAAAGAAATCAGACATTTGTATTTCTTTATTTCTTCCAAACATTTTATTTCATTTAATTATTCTACTTTTAAAATGTCAACCAATAAACAGGTTAAAGAATAAAGCTTATATTATTGACCAAGACTTTCTACATTTTTATTAATTGTATTCTTAAAATGGCAGCAATAAATGTTTTAAAGACAAAAGATAAGATAAAATCGAGAATATTATATTGATCAAGGTTTTTTTCCACGTTTTCTTCAAAGGTCAATTCGTTACACGTGGTAGTCGGATCATTGCTGCTGGGCGCTGTGGTGTTGGTTGTAGGCTTGGTGCAACTCGCGCCCGGGGCAGAAGCTGCACAAAACTCGACCGCCCTTATCGTCGTAGGATGCAGTTTGCTCGTAGTCGGTGTTTTCCTCGCGCCTCTCAGAGCGCTGTGTATCAAGAGACAGAAGGCTGCGCAGAAGGATGGGACGCATCAAAGAAGCGTCACCAGTATAGACATGCTGTTGGCTCAACACAGGTGAGAGGGCAGACGCCAACTGTTTATTGCTTCGTAAAATTGAAAACCATCGAACAACGCGTGTGTTTCTCTCGTTTATTTCCTCTTCAGATTTCGAAATCGCGTAACGATTTGATACTTTGCACGTTCGATCCATTAAGATTTGATTGGATTACAAATATACATACGTTTTTTGATTGATTATTTTGACCGTTATTTATCGAGAATAAAAATATCTTTGTTAATTAATATTATATTTTTTATCGAGATACATATATCTATTTATTCTCATAATCTTAATTATAATTATTTATATACAAAACAGATTAAACGTTACAGTAGTACCAATTTTCTGATTAATTTCTTTATCTTGCTATAAGAACATATAAAACGACATATAGTATATATACATATATATATATATATATATATGCAGTATCCAATAGGAAGTTAATGTCTCGTGCGTTGTTCGTAAAGCTATTTGTAACATAACGATCACACGAGTAAGATGGCCGACATATTAGCCTTATTTATGGAATTTTGATTTCTTTTTTTTTTTAAGCGAGCATCTCGTTAAGTAATCGTTAAATAATCGTTCCATAGGTAAAAATCGATATTCCACTCATTATTTAATAATCAACGAATTAATTAATCGTAGATAATTAATTCATAATTTAAATTCAAACAGTTCGAACATAATATATAGAATAATAAAAGTACTTTTCTTCTATATATAGATAATTTTAATCGTTACGATCGTAAAAGAAACAAAAAAAAAGAAAAAAAAAATGTAGAAAATAATTCTTTTAAAAAAATTTTTTTTTTTTTTTTTCTTTTTTCCTTTTTTTTTTTTTTTCTTTTTTCCTTTTTTTTTTTTTTTCTTTTTTCCTTTTTTTTTTTTTTTCTTTTTTCCTTTTTTTTTTTTTTTCTTTTTTCCTTTTTTTTTTTTTTTCTTTTTTCCTTTTTTTTTTTTTTTCTTTTTTCCTTTTTTTTTTTTTTTTTCACAAACAGAGATTTCACGGTTCTGACGCCGGACGAGTTGGAGGACCTCGTAGGCCGGCCGACCTCCGCTCTCGAGAACAAAATCCGCAAACAGGGCCAGAATACCTAGGTATTGCCGGCCTCGAAGAAGGCCCATCCATCCTCGCCATCGTGCTCGAACACGCCATCGTCATCGACGTCGCCAGGAACTAGCTCATCCATTCTCTACACTCATCGTTACGACTCTCGTGAACACAGTCTGGTTTAAGCAAGAAAAGAAAAGAAAAGAAAAGGGAAAAAAAAAAAGAAAAAAGAAAAAAAATGGAAAATAAATACAAGAAAAAACAGACAGACTGACGTACCGTGTCAGTTCGTTCGACTTTTTAGACAGAAAATTCAATTCTCGAATTGCACGCCGAACGGGTACAACACCCGTTTCCTTCTACGAAGATGTGTTTGCCTTCACCTTGGTGCGAGGTGAAAGTTGAGGAGGAAAGAAAAAAAAAAAAAAAAAAGAAAGAAAAAAATATCCTTGAAATTTTGGAAATTTCACGGGCGCAAGAACGAGATGTATGAGTTTTGTTCTTTTAATTGATAAGCACGCGATAGGAAATCGCCTAAAAAAAAAAAAAAAAAAAAAAAAAAAAAAAACGCCAAGTTCTTTCCGGATTGTCGTTGCTTCGCGGACTCGGGGTCCAATTTTTCCGAATATATTGCACAAAAGATGGATGGATCTTGGAAATGGGATCGAAGAAAACTCGACGACAGGAAGATGCCAATTGTTGATCAAGTTCGAGTCTTGATCCGCGTGGAGAAATCGATAAGACGATGAAGAAAAAAAAAAAAAAAAATGAAGCAAAAGGGACCTAATTATGCGGCTGCCTTCCTTTCGATCGTCGATTTTTTAAAAATCTCTCGATTCTCACCACTTAGGATCTTTTCTTCTCGAGCACGTGCGGATGTTTCTTTATTTGTTTCAAATATGGCACGCTTGCTTCCTTGCTCGCGAACGATCCTTTGCGAATGTTTTATCGAGGATAATATAATATAGTATATGTTAAGTATACAAAGTCAATCTCGTGGTTGGTCGTTCGTTGGCACGAAAATTGTTGGATGATTGGACACGATGCATGCGGATTACGTTTCAGCTTTGCATTTAAACCAACCTGTAAGTCGCGATCAAGAGAGGTTAGAATTTTTATCAATGACTTTTCTTTCACTTGTTATATTTTAATGTAAATAATTTTAATCATTACCATATTTTAGAGATACGATAATGCTCTCGAGTTCTACTTCATGGAGAAGAGAGTATTGCAAAGTATCGAAGATATTTGTGTTTATTTTTATCTTTTTATTCTTTTAGATCGTATTGCTATATCTTACGTATGAAGACGATTTCACTTATCTTTCTGTGGAGGAAAGTATTTTTTATTTTTATTTTTCTTTTTACTTTTCCATTTTTATCCTTATTTATTTCTATTTTTTTTTTTTTTTTTCATTATGTCCTCGAAAAGAGCCAGTTATTTGAATGTATCACGAAATGGGATCGCAACTCGGGAAAAGATTGAAAAAAACGCTGCATTAAGAGGTAAAAATAAGAGTAGCGTTTTCGACACGTGAAAAAAATCTCGTACGCACGAAATCTTAAGGTATCTGCCTTTCGTTGCACTCTCTCGTTCAAGACTGTACCAACGATGAAACTTCAAATCATTATCGAGGAGTTCGTATATTCACAATTCTTCGAAGAATCTTCGACAATGGGAAGAAATAGAAGAAGAAGAAGAAGAAGAAGAAGAAGAAGAAGAAGAA